GCAGTAAAGACTATTGATTTCATTAATTCCCCTATCTTTATAGCACCCTGGAAGAAAGAAGATCAGTGGTTGGTCCGACTCTTGACAATTATCTGTAATTCTGGATTTAGATTCCGTCCCTGGAGAATGGTGACTGTGACTGTATCATTTGCCCCTTGACTTTCTTCCCGCTATGACGTCCTTCATCACTCTCCCATCCTTTCTTCTCCCAAGTCTTAAGTGAGCACAGTTGCCCAAGGATCACACACAGGGTCTTGCTTGAAGATAATGGGAGGTGGCACACCAGAACCATGTGTGGACATATTCCTCTTGTATGTTCTATTATTTATTGAATAACTTGAAACCATTGCTACAGATGCCCCTGGGTGGCAATTTTAATAATTTGGACTAAACTTGTGATGACCTCTTGTCATCCTCTCTCCTCCAATGCAAAGATGTATTTTGTTATGTTTGTAAACAAATTTATAGTAGGCATGCCTAAACTATGAAGAATCTGATGATGAATAATTCTCCAGTATGAAAGCCTAATCACTGAATAGAGAACATGTTTTTGTTAGCCAACCCAGTTGGATATTGTATATAACTTAAAGTAATAAAATGGCATTTGCTGGTTGTTGCATGTGCTGCTGCTGGTGTTGTTAGGTGCCATCAAGTTGGCTCCAACTCCTAGCGACCCTGTGTCCAACAGAAGGAAACACTGCCTGGTCCTGCGCCATCCTCACAATTGCTCTTATGTTCGAGCCCATTGTTGCGTCCACTGTGACAATCCATCTTATCCCGGGCCTTCCTCTTTTTCGCTACACCTCTACTTAACCCAACATGATGTCCTTCTCCAGGGACTAGTTCCTCCAGATAACATGCCCAAAGTATATGTAAGTCAAAGTAATCAATTTTAAAAATAAGTATCTTCTGTGGGAGTGATTGCATTGATCTTAATGCCTGAAGTTTCATTGTAAAGGATGTTTCTTCTCTTCAGGTGTATTTGAGATGGTGCTTTACTCCCCACAAACACTCTTCAGACATTTTTGTCTCCCCCATTGAATTAGCAAATAAAAACAATTTAGTGCATTCTTCATCTAAGAAGAGGA